TATAATTTGTTAATGAATACACAATATAAAAAGAGGTAAATTGTGACATCAAAATAAAAGGGGTGAGTAAAGGGAAGAACTTTTTATGCAATTGACTTTAAGTTGTTATCAGTTTAAATAAATTGTTTTTATTTATAAGATGTTTTATGTAAGCCTAATAGTAACAACAAGGCAGAAACCTATAGCAGATTCACAAAAGATAAAGAGAAGTGAATCAGAGCACACAACCATGGAAAATCACCTATCCACAAAGGTAGGCAGAAAGAAAGCAAAAGGAGGACAATAAAACTACAGAACAGCCAGAAAGCAATTAATAACATGGCATTACCAAATCATTACAAATTAATGATTATAATAAATATAAGTGGATTGTTCTCCAATCAAAACACACAGGGTAGCCTGATGGATCAAAAAAAAAAAAAGACCCAGCTAACTATACGGTGCCTAAAAGCTTCTTACTTCCACTTTAAGGATACACATAGGTTCAAAGTGAAGGGATGGAAAAAGATATTCCATGCAAGTAGAAACCAAAATAAGAATAATAATAATAATAAATAAAAATTTAAAAAGAGAGAGGGGGGACAATTACACTTATATTAGACAAAATACACTTTAAGCCAAAACTGATAACAAGAGGCAAAGAAGGGCATTATATAATGATAAATGGGTGAGCTCATCAAGAAGATATAACCGTTCTATACACATATGCACCCGAGAGAGAGAGAGAGAGAGAGAGAGAGATGGAACACTAGCAGAGAAGGCCAGAGACAGAGGGAGACACAGAATCTGAAGCAGGCTCCAGGCTCTGAGCTGTCAGCAGAGCCCGATGCGGGGGTCGAACCCACTAAGGGCAAGATCATGACCTGAGCTGAAGTTGACGCTTAATCGACTGAGCTACTCCGGTGCTCCTAGGGCATTTTTTTAAATTACAAGTTGTTATGTACTATATGCTAGATCATTTCTAAAATAACACTGTGATAAAAGTAGTGTAGGTTTCTTGGAAGGAGTTTAGATCAGGCATGAGCCTGGCATGTAGTTCAAAAACAATGAGAAAGCTGATCTTATAATTTTAGAAAAACACTAAGATTGCAGAGGGAGAAGAGTGTTTGTTTCTTTTTCCCAGGTTAGACATAATTCTGCCCACTTATTTTTTAACCAAGTGTATATCTGTACACTCTTACCCCAGCTGAGAATGTTCGAGTTGTTAACCTTATTTTTTAGAAGAAATTGGATTGATTGGCTTGATCACATTCTGGATGGGCAAGTGAGGAAACATTAAATTCAGGAACCTATGTCCCAACATTTTGTTGCCATTTCCCACCTGAAACTAGAAAAAGGACTAGCGATTTTGGACTGGCTTTTGGTTTTTCTCCTCTACTCCACAGAGTTTTAGTGGACTCATCATGGCCTATGAATCTCTCTCAGGAGATAAAATAAGTATGCTATTCCCAAATTTTACACTGCATTTGGTTTGGCAAAAGAGGGAATATGAGCAAAGGCAGGAGTTAGAGGTCATTTTAATCTAGAGTCAGAGCTTGTAAACTCAACACTTTGCCAATTCTACACTGGTTAACAGGTAGTGGGAGTAACATGACTCCCTCTGAAACTTCTTGCAGGTTTCACACTTTATCTAGAAACTGCCCCACCCCCTCCAATGGGAATAAAGCTTGCCTGAGGGATGAATTTAGAAATGCTTTTGCTCCTAGCCATACTGCCCAAATTTTATCCTTAATTTACAACATATAACTTCCTGAAAGCAATCCAAAGCAAGACTTGCGGAATTTAAGCAAATGAGTAAAAAGATATCTGGTTACACGTGCATTTTGAAATATTACTTCCTTTTGTAGAAAGCAATGTATAGTATGATAGAGTTTAAAGTTTATCTAACTTTCCATAAGATCTGGGCAAGGGCCACTGATTATGTTTGTGTTTTCTTCTGTGAGATTTTTGATTACTGATCTCAATGAAAGCATTGCAATACCATCTTCCCCAGAGCTCTGGGCAAATTCTTCCATTTCCTATAAAGAAAGAATTTCCTCATCTATGAAAGAAAGTCAACATAGGATTTTTTCAAAAAAGAAATGGGAACATATACTTGGAAATAAAGTGTTAATACAAACTCTTATGTCTAGGAGTTCTTGGAAAGGAGACAGGAACTAAAATGAGGCATGCTAATCAGCATAAAGGATCCCCAGGACAGAAGGGGTGGCTTCCCTTAATCACGGAATCATGATTTGATAATCTGACACTCACTTTAAAAGTAAAAAATAAGTGTCTGCATTTCATGGTATCATACGGATTTCTGGTATCATATGTGAAGGGAGTTCAACTGAGCAGATGAAAGGACCGTCTCTGGGAAAAATAATTGACAGGAATTAAAGTGAGAGATTAAGATTTCAGTCTCTTTAGCTGCGTTTAGAGCCAGAATCAGAACAATGGCAGAACTGAAGTGGGATTGAGAAGCAAAGAACCCGGGGAGAAAATAAAAGTGAGATTAGAAGGCACGTAGTGATTCAGTGTAAATTGTGGAACTTACATTTTTCTGTTCCATAGGCACCAGACACATTTTAGTCTCAACTATAACAGTTTAAAATATCATAAATATAGAGGTGCCTGGGTGGCTCAGTCAGTTAAGCCTCCGACTTCAGCTCAGGTCATGATCTTATGCTTCCTGAGTTCAAGCCCAGCATCAGGCTCTGTACTGACAGCTCAGAGCCTGGAGTCTGCTTTGAATTTTGTGTCTGCCTCTCTTTCTGCCCCTCCCCTGCTTGCACTCTCTCTCTCTCACTCTTTCTCTCTCAAAAAGAAGCATTAATTTTTTTAAAAAATAAAATACCACAAATACAAAAAAGAAATTCACAAATACTATTCCCTTTAATGTAGGGAGTATGGTAGATCTGAGCCTGCAGGTGAATCATTACTTTTGGTAAAATATGTAGAATATAACAGAAACAAATCCCTCATTGAAAAAGCCAAACAAGTTTAAAAATCAAAACATACAATATGAATGAATTTTTATTCACAACATGTAGAACATTCTTTGTGTTAACATATGTGCTCATGTACAAAACAATTACATCTACCTATTAGCATTTTCAATTAAATTATGATCTACGTTTTAATTGACTAGAAAAGCCAGAAGTCATTCAACTCCTGAAAAATGTGTTCTTATTAAAACTTAAACTGGAAAAAATATAATGCTTCAATGGTTTTATTTAGCCTTTGTATACCTAAAATTATTATCAGAGTTTATATATTTAATATTATGCTTTATAGATTATTTAAATAGGCAAATGTTTCTTTTTAAGAAAAGCTTTCATCTCCACAAAGTAGAATATATTCCTTTAATTGTTAAGGTAGTTGTTTTGAATAAACTCGGGAATTGCTAACAAGGTATGCAAATCTTTAACTCCTTTATATTATGTCATTTTATAACAAAAAAGAGGAGGAGTATCTTTAAACTATGATTTTAAAGACTATTATAGGAAAGCACATTATCTAATTGCCAGATAAAATAATTCAGCACTATGATACATTGCTTTGATAGATCTTAAACCAAGCAGCATTAGGGTTTACATTTTGAAACTTTATTCTTCAAAGCATCATAATTATTTTCAAACCTCATCAAATTGAGAAAATATGTTGTTTCTTTATATTTCTTTATTGTTAATTTAACACCTAAGAATTGTTTGCCTTGCTGTTATTTAGGCCACTATTCCTGTAAAACACAGATAATCCTCCAAATGATTTATATTGTTCTAAGATGCAGCTATAATTTTAGGTCTATTAAACTTGGATTATAAATATCAAACTGTGGTAAATCATTTACTGAGCTTGTTAAATACATAATTCCAGTTGGATTAAATAATTCTTCAACCTCAAGGGTAAAGAACTGGCAGATGTACTGGAAGATAGTTTTTTTAGAAAAGAAAGGGAGAGAGAATCCTTACTTCTATTGAAATTCAATGTATATCCTCATGCTTACTGCAGATTTCTGGCGAATGCTGGTTATCAAGAAGCCTAAGTATTTGTGCTTGGTATAGTGGTCACAGTACAGTTTTTGAGAGGACCAGGAGAAGTGCTGGGGCAAGGGAAAGGATGAAATGGGAAAACCCACTGCATTTCTGTTAGATGGAGAAATCATCCCCACAGCAGACAGAATTCTGAGAAATGCATATCCCCCCCCTCAAATTATCTGCAGTGCAGTTAAAGAGTTATAGTTTTGTCTCTTCTTTCCAAACATGGATATTATAAGTAAAATTGGTGGGAAGAGTAAAGGGCAGGTATTAAATTATAATTGTTTGGTTTTGTTCCACCATACCATCTATAATTCTAAGTAATCAAAATCAACTAGTTCTCTAAAGTCACAAAGTATTATGGTACAAATCTGGTACTATTATTATTAATTTTTAAATCAAGGGCAATCTTCAAATCAAAGACAAAAAATAGTGTTTTGTACTCCAAGGGGAACGAAGACCGATGTGTCATATGAAATGAAATTAATGGTTTTAAAACATGATTCACAGCAGTAGAAACTTTGAATCTCCTAATATTTCTGTTAGAAGGGAACCTCTGGCTATAGCATGCTTTTTTCTACTTTGTCTAGTTTAGAGAATATGCAATAATTATAACATACTGGATGTAAAATGATGTTGAGTATTTAGAAAACGTTTAATATGATTGGTACTGAAAATAGAATTTATTATTGCATTCCTGAGTTCTCAAACACCATCCTAATTTGTTGAGCTAAAACAAGTGAATAAAGTACTAGGATTTTAGTAGTAGGAACCTCCATGTGTTTATCTTCTCTTTTCAAAGAATAAGGTATTACACATCTTAACTCCAAATCAGGTGGTGAAATCCTTGGGTGATTCTTTGATCTTTGACTTCATAAGCTGAGGAATGGACAAGAACTGGGAAAACTAGGAAAGGAATCTGTTCAAATCACTGGCTGGTTAATTCAGATGGGCCCTGTTTTCTATCTAAACTATTAAAGAAAACTATTCTCTCTTGTTCTTCTTCCCTGTCTTACCACATTTCCAGCAACAAAACAGGCAACATTTTGTGACCAGGAATATAGTAGTAGCCACACAGGCCAGCAGGAACCCAATCACATCCAACGAGTGGTACTGGACCCAGGTGAGGTCATGGGAGGTTGGCCGAAGGTGTTTGGCTCCTTTGTGGCGCATGACAAACTCGATCCAGAAGACTGCTCGATCCAAGGGCTTTGTAGGCTGATCATGGTGAATTCTTGATAACCTCATAGCGTTCTCTTTATAGCTAAAGATTGGATACATAGATAGCAATTTGAAAAAATTCATTAAGAACATGAGATACCTAAAATTATGTTTCTATCATTAAAAGGATATTACATAATTATATAAGAAATTGTCATAAATGATATCGAGTACAGAATGCCTATGACAATTTATTTCCTCTTGAGAGATTTCTAGATACGTTGGCCCTATCAGCAGAATTGTTTGTAGTTTAAGTAATAATTGGAAGTAAGGGAGAAAAGACTTGCTAATTGGAAATACCATTAAAAAGTTTAGAAATAGGAATGTAGAGGTACACCTGGTTGGTTCAGTGGGTTAAGCCTCTGGCTCCTGGTTTTGGCTCAGGTCATGATCTCACGGTTTGTGAGTTCAACCCTGAATGGGGCTCCTTGCTGACAGTGTGGAGCCTGCTTGGATTCTCTCTCCCTCCCTCTCTCTGCCCCTCCCCTATTCATGTGCACTCATGAGCTATCTCTCACTCTCTCAAAATAAATGAAACTTAAAAAAAGAAATATAGAATATGTAGGTTGAGAATACAGACTTTTGATCTCATTTGCTAAGCAAGGTATTAGGAACGAGCTAGTGATAGGAAGCAGTATTGAGGGGCAGGCCAATGATAAGGGGCCCCCTCTTCCCCTGCCTGAGTTTGAGCTGGAGTGTTAGTGGGATGATGCAAGCAAAATGAATCTACATTCCTTTTCTTCTTGGGATGTTATTTTCAGTTTGTTGTTGTTGTTGTTGTCGTTGTTGTTGTTCTGATGTGTTGCTAAAATTTGTTAAGTGGACTCTAGTTCTTTTCTGGAGCTGTTTTCTTTCCTGGAGGGCTCTATAAGGTTGACCTTTGCCAGGCAACAGACAGGCTAGGGTCTTCCATCTTGCTGTTTGGATCTCTCAATTGTATTCTATCTTCTTTCTCTTGTTTTAAGTTAGTATATACCAATATAGGATTTAAAAAATTTTTTTAATGTTTATTTATTTTTGAGAGAGACAGACAGAATGCGAATGTGGGAAGGGCAGAGAGAGAGGGAGCCACAGAATCTGAAGCAGGCTCCAGGCTCTGAGCTGTCAGCACAGAGCCGGACACAGGGCTCAAACTCACAAACTGTGAGATCATGACCTGCGCTGAAGTCAAGACGCTTAACTTACTGAGCTACCCAGGCACCCCAATATAGAATTTTTTTTTAATTTTTTTTTTCAACGTTTATTTATTTTTGGGACAGAGAGAGACAGAGCATGAACGGGGGAGGGGCAGAGAAAGAGGGAGACACAGAATCAGAAACAGGCTCCAGGCTCTGAGCCATCAGCCCAGAGCCTGACGCGGGGCTCGAACTCACGGACCGCGAGATCGTGACCTGGCTGAAGTCGGACGCTTAACCGACTGCGCCACCTAGGCGCCCCTAGAATTTTTTTAATCAAAAAGTAGCATTATCCAATTTTTATAAAATTATTTCTTTTTCTTCCCTATTTATAGATTAGCAAAAGGAAATATCTGAAGTAATATTTCTCTACTGCTAACTAGTTATATCTGCATCAGGAAAGTTATTTTTTATTTTTATTTCTCTATTTTTTGTTATATTGCCTAATTCTTTATACTGGTAATATTTGCAATTTTTAAGAAATAAACAATAAAATTGTTAGGAAAAAATAAAGATCTGCGTCTCTTCAACAATAATTTATTTTCTTTAAATAAACAGTATTTCTTTGAGGTTGTAATCTATTACCTATTAACAGTAGGTGAATCAAAAGGCCTACATAAAATTTGAGAAGTATAAAACAATTGAATCTGATATTAGTTATTTGCTGTTGATTACCTAAAAGTGTCAGCTTAGGGCACCTGGGTGACTCAGTCATTAAGCATCTGACTTCGGCTTAGGTCATGATCTCACGGTGAGTTTGAGTCCCACATCCGGTGAGCTCCAGCCCCACTTTCGGTGAACACGAGCCCTGTTTCAGGTGAGCCCTGCTTCTCTCTCTCTCTCTCTCTCTGTCTCTCTCTCACCCCCTCCTTTCTCTCCCTCTTTCCTTCCTGAGATTCTCTCTCTCCCTGCCCCCTGCTCACTTGCACCCTCTCTCTCCATCTCAAAAAAGTGTCAGTTTAAAAATTGAATGAAACAATTTACTCCTTTTAAAACACCAGATGCTTCTCAGAAAAGAATATATTCTATACTCACGAAGGGTTGTTAATAACTGCCTTCAAAGCGTTAAGTAGATCGGAACTTGTCATTGTATGTAAGTCTACTTTAAGAGCTGCCCCTTTGGCTTTCACACGAGCAATATTATCATACTGATCACCAAATATGGGAATTCCCACCATAGGGACCCCATGGTAAATAGCTTCATAGATCCCATTGGTTCCACAGTGAGTGATAAAAGCTCTGGTCTTGGGATGACCTAAGAGGAAAAAACATATCATTATTCAAATTGTGAGTTTCAGAAACAGAAAATCGTGACACCTATAAACCATTGATTCAATTAGGTAACATATACTTAAATTCAAGTTAGTTAACATGCCATGTAGTATTGGTTTCAGGAGTAGAATCCAGTGATTCATCACTTTCATATAAAACCCAGTGCTCATCCCACAAGCATCCTCCTTAATGCCCATCACTCATTTAGCCCCCTCCCTCCCTCCCTCCCTCCAGGAACCCTCAGTTTGTTCCATTTTTTTATGGTTATTTATTTTTGAGAGAGAGAGAGAGAGAGAGAGAAAGAAAGAGCATGAGCTGGGGAGGGACAGAGAGAGAAGGAAACACAGGATCCGAAGAAGGCTCCAGGCTCCAAGCTGTCAGCACAGACCCCTACATGGGGCTTGAACTCACCAAGCGTGAGAACATGACCTGAGCCAAAGTCGGATGCTTAACTGACGGAACCACCTAGGCACCCATTCTATGTCTTTAAAAGTCTCTTATGATTTAGGCAGCATCTTCTACACAATTCTGTGCCATGAGACTATATATAAATTCCTATAAGATCTAAAGAAAGCAGCAATTTGTTATTCCAGGCTAAGCAGCAATTACTCTAGCAAGTAAGTCATTTCACAACCTCTAAGGTCTGTGTGGACTTTAAATGATGGAGAGTAGTTGCCAGTTGGACAAATTGGGGTGAGGAATTAATAAAAAAAAGGATGGAGGGATTTAAAAAATGAAATTCTTGTATAGATAAGGGAAGGAGTGGTGGGAGGTACAGGGTTTCAGTGGGAGAATGTTGGCATAACAGTCTAGGAAGATATGGCACAAAAACAGACACATAGACCAATGGAATAGAAT